AAGAACAACAAATCTGTGTTGGAAGTATAACCAGAATGCTCCTTAAAGTCAGACTTCATCTCTCGTACTTCACACATATTACCAAGAGGAAACAATCCCTGGAGAAGGACATCATGATTGGTAAAGTGGAGGGAAACGGAAAAAGAGGAAGACCCCCAACAAGATGGATTGGAACAGTTTTGTTCTGTTGTGTGTAACATCACTATGAGTTGGTACTAACTTGATGGCATCTAACATCAACAACTGTTGATGAATTTGGGGTCTCTTCTCCCCTACAATAAAACCATTGTCATAAGGTTTACAGTAGTTGAGGGGAAGCAACTTGATAAAATTCTTTTAGCTTTACGTGAGTATATATACCAAGAGTAATTAAAATGTTTTCAGTTCAGTACTCTCAGTCCTTAAGATATTATAAAAGAAAATAATTCAACAATAATGTATAAGTAGAAATTCACAAAACTATGTCCATTACATCATCATTTATAATGGCAAATAATGTGAATCTGTACGTGATGTAGAAGCGAAGCAGGTAAGTAAATTGCATTGTATTGTGTTTACAAACTGGGAAGGCTAGTCAATAAAGAAAGAATTTACCACATGGTAACTTGAATGACCTTCCTTCCTCATACATTTCTGGCTCTTAGGCTATGTGCTTCTCAAGAACCTTGCAGCTGCTGAGATATCTGGTGATTGAATGGATGTCTTGGGCTTTGTTGTGATTCCAAAAGAGCTAGTGTTATAAATCTTCTCCCATGAGCTGAGCAATTAATTAGATAGAGAGCAGGATCAAAGTGCAACTCAACAAAGATTTCCTGAAGTTTTAAACATGTTTTACAAAATGGATCTTTAGGAAATGGATTTAAAGGTAGTCAAACTGTCAAGGGCAAATCAGTGATGTGGAAATGAAATGAAAGAATAGTTTCAGTGTACAAAAGTGTGACAATAAAGAGAAGGAAACCAAGTTAATAGGTAAGAGTCTTGGAGGATAGATCTAGAAAACATATTTGAACATATGAAAGATGTTCAAACTTAATAGGACATCCAGAAATATGAAGTAAGTTGCTATTTGTTTGTGCCTGGAGGGTCAGGAGTAAGCACAGAAGTGGAGCTGGGTAGCAGGCAAACAGATGACTCAGGCCACAAGATGATGATGGAATTCAATGAGTTTTCCTTCCAAAGATTGAAACTTATAGGAATATTGTTGTTGTTGTTGTTGTT